AGAGTTACAGAGAAGATAACAAATAATATAGCTGATGTAGTTTGACATCAAGTGAGGATATTATCGCGGAGTTTAATATTAAATAATAAGTTTACAATCATTGAAGAACGAACATAGATGTCGAGCAATTTTGGCGTTAATATTACTTAGTATCACAATATTGGAGGAAGGAAGGAACATTCTAGAGAGCTTAAGGTTGTCGATTAATATGTTTCTTTGTCGTACTTTGGGCATTGCCAGAGGATGTGGTCAAGATCTTGAACTTCAGAGTTACAATCGCAAGTTGTATCCTGACATAGTCCTATTTTATAAAGTGACGCTTTTAAATTATAATGCCCTGATCTGCAACGGTTGATAGTAGTTATAGCGCTTCTCGGGAGTTTGAGTTTGTGGAACCAGGGCTTGGTTTTGTCGTTGTGAAAGTTTTGGAAGAAAATTTTGCCTTTGATCGTTCTTTCCTCGCAAATGATATTAAGTGTATTGAGACGAGCATTATTTTTAAGGTACATTTTGAGGTCAGTCTCTTTTTTTAGTTTTAAATGTCTTATGAGCCACTGCAACTGCTTTCTTATATTCGATAAAATCATGTTGTTTTTTAGAGAAACGCCACTTTTTGAACGCAGCTCTTCTGAGTCTTTTAACCCTGTCGCAGTCCGAATCCCACCAGGGAACCGGATTGCGATGGTTTTTGTTATTAACGATTCTCTTTACAGGTGTATTTGCTTTAATAGCATTCGTTACAATTTCAGTAAAAGTAGAGTACTTAGTGTTAGGCTCGGCTGAGACATATATTAATTTAAAAAAATTTTCGAAGCTATTTTCAAGATAATTTGAAACTGTATCCCAATCGGTACGAATGGATTTGAGGTTGTGCGTTTTTTTGCGATAAATGCTTTTGTTAATGTTAATGTCAATAAAAATAGGAAAATGATCCGAGCCCCAGGTTTCGTCATTGACTAAAACATTTACTTTATGAGCGAAATTGTTCGATGAAAATATTAGATCAAGATTTGAAACATAGTTCGAATTAGGGCGAAAATAAGTGTGAGTATCGAAATTGTGCAAGAAAGTATCGGAATTTACGTAAGTCGAATGAAGATATTCACCATTATTGTCAGAGTTACCACAGTTCCATGACGTATGGTGAGCATTAAAATCGCCCATTATTAAAATATATTCATTATCATCAATGGTTTCAAAAATAGAGTTCCATTCGTTTTGCGAATGCTGATTATCTGGAGCTCTGAAGTACGCATGAATAACAAGATTAGGGGTGACGTTAGTCATTTTAAATATTAGATATTCGAAAGCTTGATTAAGAGAAAGCGCGCCATCGATCTCTTTATACGCTAAATTGTTCTTAATGAAGGCAATAATTCCACCTCCTTGTTTATGTAGACGATCTTTTCTCAGGGTATTGAATCCAGAGAAATGTGGGCTAGCGTCGATATTATTCAGCTGTGATTCTACGCACACTAAAATGTTAATATGCTTGAGAATTTTGGGAACTTCTTCGATCCTGGCTCTAATACTTCTACAGTTCCAAAACACAATTTTGAGATCTTCAGAAACAACTTCTGCTATTATAAGAATCTAGGTTTCCGTATCTCCTTCGTAATTCTTTTGAGTTAAGAGGGACAATTTTTCCGACAATCTTTTACATCGGGCCTTAAGTTTGTGATCGGAGATGAGGTAGAGTAGATCGCCAGTCATCTTGTGAAGACCGGTGAAATCATTAGTGAGTGATTCCGTGATAGATGCTATGTTACTTTTACCATAAGTTTGTTCGAGAAAGCTTTTGAAATTTTCAAAATTCAAACAGTATGCCGTAGGATTATTTGTGATTTCGTCCTTCACAGCTTGGAGTGATGATTCAAGATCAGAGACTTTAGTTTCGCTAGACGAGCTTTCGAGTATCTTGTCGCTTTTGTGTTTTTTGCTTAACGGTGGCTTGACTTTTTTCAGAGTACTATTGCTATGGATTTTGACAGGGTCATTATTTATCGGATTTAGTTTGTTATCAATCGGTATGGAAGCTGAGGAATGGCTAGAGAGAGATAGAGGTCTTTTCGGAATGTTGACGTTAGCAGGCTTGACAGATGAGTCAGCTGCTTGCTCAGTTTGTTCGGTAGTTTTCATGTCTGAAGTATTATTATTGATTACAGGTTCGGCGGCAACTGGGATTTTAGTATGTAGAGATTGATGTGATGGGAGGTTCTTTTGGCACTGCTTCGCTATGTGTCCCGTTTGATGACAAATGAAGCAGCTGGTAGAGTCAGTACTGAAGTAAATCCAATAATTAGTGTTATTGTAGTTTAGTTGAATTGACTCGGGTAGCAGAGATTCATCGCCTTCCTTTATGTAGACTTGACGGTGAAACGAGAGGATGTGCGAGCGACCAGGTTTAGTAGTCCTAGCTCGGATACAATGAATTTCCGAGACGGTTTGGATGCCTTTGTCTTTTAATGTTTCCATGAGGATTTGATTCGGAATTATTGGGCTAACATTAGATATTACAACGCGTTTGTTTTTCTCGATGAGGGGACGAATACTGAGTCTATGATGTAGGATTTCAATTAGTTTGTTTTCAAGGCTATAAACTAGGTCTTTAGATGCAAGGTAGACACAGACTCGGCCTCCAGAGATTTTTGAAATATATTTGACGTAATTGATGTCTATTAGTTTCTCTATGCCGTCAAGGTAGTCGTCGATGGATAAACCGTCAATAGCTTCAATGACAATAGCATGTTCACTAGCAGGTGTATAGGTGGCTTGCGCATAAGAAGGAGAAGAAAACTGTTTGTTGGAACTTGATTTGTCCGCGTGGCCCCCTGTTATGGAAGACATCGCAGAGTAAGTATGCAGTTTAGAAAAACTGCGAAAAACACGCACTTGCTCAGTATAGCACTGAGCACAAAACTAGACGCTCTTCACTAAGCGCGGTTTGCCTGAAAACCACTACATTAATCTGATGTAAATAAACTCGTGAGCGGAAATCAAAGCAAAACAAACACGTCTGCTCGCTACAACTGCTCGATGAGCACTGTTAGGATACCTTACCATCACAAGCAAGCGATATATTAAAATGCTTACTGAAAAAAAAAAAAAATAAAAACGAGCATTTCCACTATCTTTACGATCATTTGCTACAACATTGCACTTTTACTCACCAAAAGCGTATAATTATGTCCGAAGAACTTTCGTAAACTGTTTACCTCATCCTCTTACAATTGGAAAATGGTACAAAAATATTGATTTTACGACTGGTATAAATGAAGCAAGTTTAGAGACAATAAAAAAAAAAGTTAATCTTATGAAAGATACATATAGTAATAAACCAGTGTTTTGTAATCTAGTTATGGATGAAATGAGCGTGAGGAAAGCTGTTAAGATTATAAATGATAAAGAATACGGATATATAGATGTGGGAGATAATATAGATGGAATTGATGTACCTGAAGCAGAAAATGTTCTAATTATTATGATTGTCTGCAAAAACGGAAAATTAAGAATTCCTGTCTCCTATTGTTTTATAAAATCCTTAACTGGATAAGAAAAAACAAACATAATACTAGAAAATATAAAAGCTTTGCACGATACAGGCATTACTATAACATCATTAACATTTGATGGTTTACATTCTAACACAGTAATGTACAATGTATTGGGAGTTGATAAATATTTGAAAACTGATGATAAGTATTTTGTCCCACATCCTGTTACGCAAAAATAAATATATATTATTTATGATGGATGTCATATGCTCAAATTAATTAGAAATGCCTTAGCTAGCGGTGAAGATATGTATGATGCCGAAGGAAATATTATATCTTGGACATTCATATCCGATCTTTTAGATTTTCAGGAAATGAATGGGCTACATGCAGCAAATAAATTAAGGAAAGAGCACATTAAATGGGAAGAAAATAAAATGAATGTGCGATTAGCTGCTCAAACACTAAGTAAAAGTGTAAGTGTAAGTCTTCTTTTTTTTAAAGAAGATTTAAAAATACCACAATTTGAAAATGCTGCTGGAACTGCTAAATTTTGTAATTTTATAAACAACACATTTGATATTTTAACTTCGAGAGAGTTGTATCATACAGATGAGTACAAAAGAGGTACACTGCCCGTCAATCACTTTTGCCATGCTTACCTCAAAATTAGGCAAAATTGTAAGTTTTGTATCTCGGTCGGAAATCATCGTATCACAAAAAACCGCAGGGCGTTTGAGAGGTAATTGCAAAAGCTTTCATTTAAGACGTGAAGAGACTTAAAAATGAAAATATGTGTTTTTTACAGTAAAAAAACTGATTAAAAAAAATTTCAATTTTTTTAACCTCGACTTAAATCAATGCCAATTTAGAACCAGGCGGTGGGGAGCAAATTGACCTGAGGAGTTCGGAGGGTAATGTCTTTCCCTTTAAAATGAGCTCCCGCGGGGTTCTATCCGATGTTTTTTAACCGAGTTACGGCGTTTTTTGTAAAAAGCAACCTTTTTTCCAATCCTCAATTACTTCGACTTGCGTATGTTTTTGAAACAAATGCCAAAGAGAAAAAAGTTTCATTTTGTGTCCAATAATACGAAAATAAAGTCAAAATAAAGAAATAGAGAAAAATTTTTTTTTCGGTTTTTTAGCGCATTAAAAAAATAAAGGAATTTAACTTTTTTTTTACGCTTAGTTTTAAAATATCTAGGGACGTAGTAAATCACAAAATGATAAGTATAAATAAATTCTTTTTTATTTTTATTATTTTTTCAAATTATATTAATTATTGTAAGTTTGAAGCGTTGAAGAAGAATTGTTTGTAAACAAAAATGGTGAACACACTATCACTATGTACGACGTACACTTTGCATTAATACTACAATTTAATCTACTTTTATATAACTCTGCTAATTCATGCTGATATAAAGTTGCTAATTCATGCTGATGTAAAAGAGTCTTAACATGCGAATAGTATTTCTGTAGATAATACAGCAATTTTAAAGATCTCACCTGAAATATGGAAAAGTTTTAATAAGAGCATATCTGACAAGATTATTGATAATAACTATACAGATGTTGATGTTGGAGATTATTCACTAAGCTGTGATAATTTTTACGGTTCTGGAACTAATAAGTTATATATAGATAACGTTGTTGCGTACATAGCTGGCTTCATAGTTAGAACGATTTTAAGACGCATGAAATGTTTTCAATGTCCATTGTTATTAACAGATGAAAGTAGTCATTTATCTTTAGTGGATAAAAAAAATCGTGGAGGTTTAATCAAACCGTCTGAAGATGTAATTAAGGTGTGTCAAATTCTCGAAAAGAACTTCAGATTATGTTATAAATCTACCAAAGGTATTTTTAAGCAAATGTGTTTTGATATGATATATGATATATGATAATAGATTATTGGGTTATTAGGTTATTTGGAAAGAACATACAATAAAGTTAGATTGTTGTTTTTGACATATATATTAATAATTTTGAAAAAGTGAGAGGGGTGCAATTAAAACGAGCAAAGGTTCAATTTTTTGCCTTGTTTCTTTTACAAAAATATTAAGTATTACTAAAGATATCGCAGTTACAAAAAACGAAAAAATTATCATAGTTTTTAATTTTTTTTGGGACAACTGAAGGGGTTCAATTAAAATAATGAGCATTTTTGGAGGGTTCAATTAGAGATGTTTCGAATGGTATTTTTTATTTTTACTGTCCATTACACTTTGCAGGCTGGGGTAAGGGAGGTATGCTCGAAAGATTCTCATCACTGAGTCAAAGTAAGTAGAAGCTGGAATTCTTATTTTGGCACTAAAACATATAGACCGGAACTAAGGGAATTTGGAACTAGGATATTGATAGCTGCGGCTATGAAGTTGCTGCTCGTAGCCATATAAAAAATTTTTTTGCGTTTTAATAAGAACATATAACAAAATTAGATTGTTGTTTTTGATGTATATATTAATAATTTAAAAAAAGTAAGATGTTCAATTAGAATGAGCAAGGGTTCAATCTTTTCTCTTGTTTCTTTTCAAAAATATTAAGTATTACTAAAAATATCGCAGTTGCAAAAAAACCAAAAAATATATATAGTTTTTAATTTTTTTTGGGACAACTAAAAGGGTTCAATTAAAATAATGATCGTTTTTGGAGGGTTTAATTAGAGATATTTCTAATGGTATTTTTTTTTCACTGTCCACTACACTTTGTGGGCTGGAGTAAGGGGGTTGTAAAAGAACACCCTTAGATCAGCCTTGGAAAAGACCCAAAATAAAGAAAAACAATTTTCAATAGAGTCGAATTTGCTTGGTTCACCTATGTTATCCAAGCAATTTGATCGCATTACATTAAAAAAAAAAATATGTAAATTTTTCTTTTTTACGCAAACATTAAACGATAATATCTTGCCGAAATATCAATATTTGTTAAATCCTAAGATCTCAGAAAATTGCTCACTATTACAAGAAATTTGCCCCGTTATAATATATTTGAAAAGTACATTATTTTTTATAAAGAAATTTAAGTAATATACATACATTAATCAGCAGCCGCAACCAATTCTGTAAGTTAACGCATGCGTAAAACGACTGTTTGAATTACATACGATACCAATTATATTATTCAAATTTTTTTATAAAAAATAATGTACTTTTCAAATGTATTATAACGGGGCAAATTTCTTGTAATAGTGAGTAATTTCTTAAAATCTTAGAATTGAACAAATATTTATATTTCGGCAAGATATTATCGTTTAAAGTTTGCGTAAATATACACTTCGATATATTTTTTTAAATATAATACGAGCAAATTGTTTGACTATGATAGCTAAACCGAGCAAATTTGACCCTTTTGAAAATTTTTCTTTTTTTACTTTTTTCCTGGTCTGTTCTAGGGGTAATGTGTAAAGGATCGAATCTTGACGCTGAGTGCTGATTTGCTAACAGCTAATCTCAGCTTGTGATAATTGAATTCGATTTAGGTCTTATGATTGGAATTTTTTTAAGCTTGGAAATTTATGTTTGATTATGTTTGAATGTTTCGATTGTTTATTTTGGACATATCTGCTATTTTAATAACCTGTATACAAATGATTGCGAAAGTGCAAAGTCGTGCCAGCTGTGATAACTAATTTTCGAGGCATGATTTATCAGAGTTGACATTTGTCAATAAAATCTTTTTCGAATCGTTCTGGAAACAACCTATAACTATATTATGTAGTTATGTTTATTCGGTCTGAGTAACGTGAAGATGTATCTGGCAATAGCTTTATTATATTAATTCTATTTGCATTTATGTTTATCAGATTTGGCTCAGTATTTCTTTATACTTCTTTCATTTAAAAGGCTTTAAAATATATTATACTATAACTATTTATGTCATAAGTATAGTAAAAATTGTTATCATTTATGAGACACCCAGCTGTCTTATTGTTAATAAATAAATTGCAATAATATTGTAATTTATTTTTGACAGAGAAAAAAATTAATTTTAAGAATTCTGTTAGTTGCCAATTTGAGTGCACTCAAAGAAATAAGTGCACGAAGTGATCCATTTTAAACCTAGTTCCATTTATTTTTTTGAATAAATGTAAATATATTTTATAAATTTATTATGATAAAATTTTATATACTATAATTATTACATTAACAGATACATTTTTTCCTAAAATTATTAAGTCAATCATTCACTATTTACAACTAATTTTACATTATTATAATTGCAGAACAAAGTCTTGTGACTACCTGTCACTTCTAACTACCATGTGGCTTTCAACTACAGAAGCATCTTCTCTTGGAGCTGAAGAAGTTGCTGGAAGGTTACAGGTGGATATTAGAACTGGGCTTTGGTGGGATGAAGCTGAGCATAGAAAACATTTATTTGGCCATAATGAGTTTAATCTTAAGGAAAAAGAACCTACTTGGAAAAAATATATCGAACAAGTATTACTACTTTTTGCTATTTATTTTTTCAAATTATAACATCTGTATTTTTATAACTTTTTGCAGTTTAAAAATCCATTAATATTACTTCTTCTCGGCTCTGCTCTTGTGAGTATGTACATGAAACAGTTTGATGATGCAGTGAGTATAACAGCGGTATGTATTCATTACCATTTTTTGTTAATAATATCACTTAAGTATGTTGTTGATTAATGAGCTTTACTTTTCAGGCTATAATTATTGTAGTAACTGTAGCATTTGTGCAAGAGTATCGTTCTGAAAAATCTCTCGAAGAATTAAATAAATTAGTACCACCAGTTTGTCATTGGTATTCTACTTTTTTGAATATTTGATACTTTGATTATTGATTTTTCATAGTGAATCATTTAATATAACATTTCCAGTTTAAGACATGGAAGATTAGAAACTTTCCTTGCTCGTGATCTTGTTCCTGGAGATATTGTTTATTTAAACATTGGAGATAGAGTTCCTGCCGATGTCAGACTATTTGAAGTCATTGAGTTAGCTGTAGATGAAAGCAGTTTTACAGGAGAAACGGAGCCTGCACAAAAGTTTACTGTTCCATTACTCAAAACAAACGGAGAAAGTGCCAAAAAAAACATTGCATTCATGGGAACACTAATTCGATGTGGAAGTGGCAAAGTAAACTCTTGGCTATTAATATCTATATCTAATATGATAACCACTAATAATGGAAAAAGTGTAGAATGTTGCTCTCTGAAAGTTGAATGTGAAATTAATACCTTAACCGAACTTTAAAATAAGAATAACTTCTGAGTAATGATTCTCGAAGTTTTCTAATTTATAAGAACAAAAAGATATTTTTCGACATTCCGTGCGGAAAGTGCGTTTTTCCCGCACGCTCGGCAAAACACGTGCGTTGAAAATCGCACTTTCCACACGTCGTATCAAAAAATACGGTACAGTACATGTTCGGGAAAGAGTTTCTCGTCTCGTATACCTTTCCACCCTTGCTTCGCTCGGGCGTAAACGCCACACGAGACAAGAACCTATTTTTCTGTACTTGTATCGCAATGTACTATTTTTAGTATACATTCAATTTAAAAGTTCATCAAAATATGAAGAGAGGCAACATTCTGCATTCTGCAAGACAAAGATCATTTAAGAGGAAGTCATTAGGCAACATGATTTATAAATTCGTAAAAACCATTATCTTCAATTAATTTTGAGTTTTTATTGAAAATTATAATTTGGAGTCGTTTAGAAGATGGGCATTTTCGCGCGTAAAGCCACTTTCGCACGCGAAAGTGTAACAAGTATTAGTTATTTCCTCCACCATTTTTTGTGCACTAAAATGTCAGATAATTCTTTTCACATGCGAAACCAATTTTCCGGTCGGTTTCGAGCGCGAATATGATCCACGACATGACACCTTTTCTCGTGCGAAGTTTAACACTTTCTTCCGGAAGAAACACTAATTTCGCTTTCGCGTGCAAGAGATGGAAAAGGAACATTTTTTCGCGCGCGGAAAGTTGGAAAAAGGGACTGAACATTTTTTGCTTACGAAAGTAAACGCCTCTTTTATCACCGAATTATACTATTTTTGATTTTGCACGCGAAACTGAGGGAGAACTGACAACTATTAGTGCGTGATTAGACTTGAAGTTTTCGCATACAAAAAATGTATTCTTTTCCCTCAAATAATAAATATTTGTATCTATTGAACTCTTGAGGTTAATTTATAAGCCATATATTTTATCGAACACTGTGTTTAGTTCATTACGTTATTGTTGTTTGTGCTGTTTAGTTTTGATTTTTTTATATAGACTTGTCAATGACAGGATTTTAATATTCAGAAGTGTTTAATGAAAAAGGCTCCAGCGAAGACTGCTGTCTTCAATAGCTTAATCTAAGGTACATCATAATAATTTATAAACTTTTGTTTTTTTCATTTTATTTACAATTTGTTTGTCGACAATAGATAAATGATGTTGTTACAATACTATTTTCTGATTACAAAATTTAAATTACATGAAGGTACTTCACCAGTGATCCATACCAGTAGTTTTATTTTACAGAGCTAAGTTATATGAGTAAAAGGTGATTTATATTTTTTAAATCTTGTCATGGTGTTGTGTGGATTAATTTTTTCACAAAATAATTAAGATGTAATGTTACCTATATAGTGTACCTTTTACAAGCTATTTCTGTTTCTTCTTAAACAGTCCAAATAATGACGTCCTTTCTGATTGTTTCGATTGTAACAAACCATGGTGCATTGTAATAGGCTTTATTCTGAAATCTATCAATGATATCAATATTTGATTTTGTAGCTGTACTTCAACGTTAAATGTCATATATCCATACTGGTTTAAGTACTCCTATATTAATATTTTATTTACGATTAACATTTTAGGTTTTCTGCCCAGTAACCAGTAGTATTTTCTGAGTTGTAGATTTAGTTGTTAGCGTTTGGTTTGCATATGGTGTCTCCACGTTAGGCGACGATCCAGATGCATTCCAAGGTATTTTGGATTTGTTTAGATATTTTTGCATATTACAAGACGCGGTTGCTGCATTTAAGTGAGGTGTTAAGGAGGCTCGATGGATTTTGTATAAAATTACAGATTTCTCTAAAACTTTCAGAAATAGTACTTTTTATATTCAACTTCCCATAGCTGAAAAAAATTAATAGGGTTGACGATGAAAATAATGAGTATTAACCATAATAAACTTGCAACTATTTGCACGTTGCTTATGGGAGTTGGCTTGTAAGTGAACACTCAATCAGAGTGTTCTCAACAATAAAATTACAGAGTATGCAATAAAATATATTTTTTTATAGATTAATTTTCCAAGATCATGACTGTAGAAAAAAAAGTGGGGGTTGACGATAGCGTTAAAGTGTTATTTGCGATTACAATTTGCAAAATACCACTGTTACGGTAGAACAGCACATGTACTGTTGATTACTGCGCATGCTCGATAATAGAATGGTAGATGCGGCAACGTCGGGTAATATAGAGCGTTCGTTTCGAAAGTAATGATGACACTTGAATGAGATGTGATAATTAACAAGGTACAATTAGTCATAAATTTGTCAAAATTAATTTATTAAATATTTTTTTGAAATTGATTTTGCATGAAATATATTTGGGCTTGAAATATACGTATATAGTATCCCCTGTTTATGAAGTTCTTTTAAATAAATATATAATACAGAAATATGAGGTATAGTTTAGTTAGTTGAATAAATAGTTCAGGTACTTACAAACATAATAATTAACTCAACAAAATATATTTTTTATTTACATCCAAATCATACAAAACAAAAATTGAGTGTTCTACTTTGGTACCATGAGTATAATCATCATTGACATAGAAACTACTTTGGTAAACGCGTATTCTTTAACACACACTTCACTTTTATAATATATCAATATGTCTTTCATTTTGTCAAGTCATTGAAAATGCATTTGACAATTTTTTTGTTCATGGTAACACGTGGTTTACCATTAACACTCATTCCCAATAACATAGTTAAACCCTCAAGACCATTTTCACAAGCTTTTTTGAGAATATTTTTGTCAATACCAGCTTTGGTAATTTTATTCTTCATATGCTTTGTAATGGTTAAATCTGACAGCGTGTTTCCTCGAATTTTTTTAGCTTCATTTAATTTTTTCTTATCCTGATTGAAGTTGATGCTTTGAGTTCTTTCTATAATAGAAGTATTATTTTTACATATCTTTCCAACAAGTTTCTGTAACATCAAAACATCATTGAGAGCATTATGAGCAACCATTACATCTTCACGTGCCAATAAATCATCAGCCAGTGAACTTTGACTGAAACTTTTCTTTTCCTTTTTTCTATCTACTAAAATAGATTTGAAAATAGACAGTGTATCGCTAAAGCCTTTAACGAACAGGTTCATTTCATTGATGAGATGTAAGGATGTAGCCATTTTAATAATTCTTGGTGCATCAAATCTGTAAAATATATGAGAACTTATTATTCATAACTTATTTTTAACAAAAGAGTATTGTAAGATGTAGTCATACCTGAAGCCATTATGTGCCAACAAAATACAGGGTTTTTTTTGAAGTTTCAAGAAATGTAAAAAACTTAAAAATCCATCTCGTGCAGAGTATGTTACTACTTTTTGTCCACCAACGTACGTTTGATTTTCGTCTATCTTTCCACCGATATACATTTCATTTCCGATTATCCTGATTCCTGTAATGTTCGATGCTGCAGAAGACATTTCTTTCTTGGGTGAGATATACACTTCAAAAATGTTACTATCATAAGCTGCGGCTATCTACATAAAATATATTTTTAAAAAAGTCACAACGTAATAGTAGTAGACACACTCTACAATAAAATAGATTGAAAAATAAATCATGTCAAACCTGTACTATTTCATCGGTTGCTAATAATCCTGTAGTTTCAGTATCGAATGTTACGATGCAGCAATCTTCATATGTAGCTTGATCTATGAAAAAAATTCATTGTTGGATATTTATTATAATATAATTTAATTCACAAAAGGAATATAATAATATTAGAATACTGTACCAGCAATAACAACTTCATCGATTAAATCAGACGTATCTAGATAACCAGCTCCAGATTGATAAGTAACCCTTCACAGTTAGTAGTCGATACGTTTTGAGTTGATCTTTCTTTTTTCAAAATAAGACGTCTTTTTTTAGCAGGAATCGTTTGTTTCTTTTGTATATTAGTTTCTAAATATTCCTGTTTTCTTTTTCGGAAATTTTCAGTGTGCTTTCCAGGAGATAAATTCAAACTAACATTTAGTTCAACAATAAATATGTATCCAATGTTCTTTTGACATACAGATATTGCTACTCTAAAACAGTGCGATTCAGAACCTCCATAAAAAGCTGATTTTGGATGTTTACTACAAACGGTGTTATTGAAAGACTCATTTGCTTGACTTGATGCACATGGTGCTAATTGTGCTACACTGTTGATATACGGCTGTAAAATCTTTTCTAATTTGTCTTTTAAATTCAAATCTGTTAAACATTGACCATCTTTGAAGTATCTGTAAACATGCTGGTTTTTATCATTTTTTTGGCAAAATGTACCACAGTTCTGATGATCTCCGAACGCATGGGGAACGATATTTGACAGAGCATCTTTGACTTTTGGTTCACAACCTTTATTTTGTTTGATAAACAAGGCAAAAACTTTCTTAAAATATTCTCTTAGAGTAGCATTTAATTTGATGTCGTATAATTTGCCATTAAAGGTTTTTGTCGAATGATTGAAATCTGACCACTTTTCAATTGCGTATGGTGAAGGTCGTCTCAAAGCAGCTATTGCAGATGAGTCATCGTAAGCAACGAGAGTTTTTATTCTACATTTCAACTTGACTAAATGTTCATTTTTCAATATTAACTCCACTGCCATATCGGCTTCCATAGCTTTTGACGATCCGTTATGATTTCTTCTGCAAACATGATTTCCCGGAACGACTCGTTTACACTGTCGACAATAAATATTGCGGCATGCCCATGCCATGACTTTCTTACCCAGTAGGCTTATCAACGACGCGTGACCTGTATATATGAATACCACTTTATTTTGTTTTTAGTTCAATAATTTATTGCATAATAAATTTAATAAAAAGACTATACCACTGAGACTGCTATATTGACGTCCTTTCTTTGGCCATGCACAATCGAACGAACCAGTCAAGTCAGTTATTTCATTTTCGTCTACCTCTTCATTACTGCTTACGCAGATATAAATAATAATTCATTATGAGAACACAAACATGATTAAAGGAAATTAGCTTAAAAAAAGTTTGCTCGCATGAATAATTTCTAATGACACATTCATTTCTTTTTACATTCACATTCAGTTATATTAACACAATATTAGTAATATAAATATATTGCATATATTTAGAGTAATAGGTTTGATCTCCTCTTACATTCGCATTCAATTTTTATTACACAATGTTAGTGATACATAAATTCGTTACATATATTTTGAAGTATATACAATTTTCAATTGAGATAAATGTTTTGTTATTGTAAATATTAATATTTTCTTACATCTACGTAATTAAAAAAAAATGAAGCCATTAAACATTTATTGTCGTTATTAAAACTAAGATTTTTTCCCCAATTTAAAAGTTTTTTTTTAACTAACTATTTCCTAAGTACAACATGCATATTAACTATAATATTATGCAATAAAATATACAATTATTGTTGATAACTATGCTACGTATTTGTTAATTACATAAAGTACATATAAAATATTAAGCATGTGGCAGGGAATTTCGGGGGTATTGACCGCGCTCCGAGTTTCTTCCGCCACAAGGCCTGTGAGGCTCTGCCCCCGATTATTTAGGGCGCCAGACCGTCGGCTGATTACGGCGATTGTCGGGGGTAAGGCCGGTAGGGTTATCGCGTATCCCGGTCTGCTTAACGGCGACTGCGCAGAGTGGGCAAACGGGGGATACGCGTTGTATCCTCACTTCAGGCCTTGGTGTCCAACTCTCCTTCTCTTTCTACGTCTCCTTGACTAGGGTATGCCGGCAGCTCAGGTGATGGCTCCTTGATTCAGGTCGTGAATACGTTCGAAATCGCGCGTACGTTACCTATCGTGGGACCCGAAAATACAGCGAATCAGTGATACCCGATTATGACCGCTCGCGGCTGAAAATCACTAGCATACAGTCGAGGTGGGATATCAAAGTAAATTATATATACATAGATAATTAATCACTTTATTGATATATTAATAATTTACAAGTAAGAGGTCGGAGTGAATAGGGTCGGTAAAAAGTCTGAATAACCATAAATCCGTAAGGATACAATTTAATCGGAACGTTAATGATTTTCCGGTCGGTCTTCGATTAACAAAGAGAGAGGGTCAGCGCAAATAACTCAGTCGCGAATTTCCTTTGTCTGATCTTACCGCTCCTACTCGGTTTACGAAATGGCGGAAAGATCAGCACGAAATCGAATAAGCACGGTATTTTTATTCGGCTAAATCTACCTTCGTAACGAACTATTAACAAAAAGGTCAGCGCGAATAACTCAACTACTGCTTCGAATTTGTATGAACCTAATACTCTCTTTAAATCTAGGAAATGGCGGAAAGGTCAGCGCGAATCCTAAACCTTGGTTGATCTTAACGTTCACGTTCAATTTGTGGAATAGCGGGAAGATCAACAACTATATAAGCACGACAATTTTATTCGATTAAACCTATGTTCGCAATAAATAATTAGCGAAAGGTCAGCGCGAATATACTAGATCTCAATTTTCATGGGTTAATCCTAACGCTCACATTCGGTTTGCGAAATGGTGGGAAGGTCAACACAAATAACTAATCAAGACAAATTTTATTCGGTTAAACCTACGTTCGTAATAAATAATTAACGAAAGGTCAGCGCGAATCCTAAATTGCAATTTTTATTCGTAACATCTAACACTCAATAAATAGTTAACGAAAGGTCAGCGCGAATCCTAAATCGCAATTTTCTTTCGTAAAACCGAACACTCACTATATCTACGGAATGGCGGACAGGTCAGCACGATCCGATAGGCACCGGCGTCGACGGATCCACGCGTCGCGACGACCTACGGCACTGAACGATTTATTCCCGCACTCCGCGATTAAATAAAAGTGAGTGGCACTTTGCCTACTTACGATCTTTTCCTTGCGGTTTTAGTAACAAGATTGGCAAAAGAGTATGGAAGGCGTCTAGCGCTAATAATTCTGCAGCAAAATTATCTGACAGAGGCTCCTTCTATCGAGAGATCCAGTGGCAAAATGGACGAGAATCGGCTTCTCGCGGTCAAAGATCGCTTTTCTTCTCCTCTTTCCGAGAAGAAATGTTATTATTGGTCGGTATGCTAATTCGGATATCGGTAGCGCCCTCCGAATATTTTATTATTGGTCCGTATGTAAATTAGAA